TCAAGTTGTTTCCCCTACAGATAACAGCAGAAACTGCAGTGCAAAGGACACCAGAGAGGGCCTTAAAGTAGCTAGCTCAGGGACGAGGAATAATGGAGCCATGACAAGCTGAAGCTCCGCTGGTTTTGGCGTATCGTGCTTTGTGATTTTCTGCCTGTTTGATGGCAGTGTTCATGCACTGGCATAAATCACTCTGCCCAAGCTGTGCCTCAGCTTACTCAGGGAACATTGTTTACATGTACCTGGGAGCAGTATTTGGAGAAGGAGGGGGTAGCGGCACTGTAAATCACATCAGAGAACAGAACAGATGAGGCAAGAAACTGCAGGTGCCGTGGGGAGGAGGAGATGAACAGGTGACAAGGTGGCTAGCATTGGCTGAGGGCTGGTAAAGGACTCGCTAGGATTTGGGATTGACAAAGCAGGGGAGGAGGAGTTGGATTAGGATGGAATATTTCAATTTAGAATGGAGAAGGGCGTCTTGGAACTACTGGAGCAATTTAAGATGGCTGAGTGGATACGTTTTCCATGAAAAAAACAATGAAGATCAGCATTGGATGAGAGGAGCAAAGAAATAGTTACATCTATCGAGACAAAAGATAGTATGGGCTTGGCCAGTATCTGTAATGCTACTTTTTTCCTTCTCATGTCTCCCTGACTGCTGTTTGCAGCTACTAGGTCAGAGTACAGGTTGGCAGCCACATACTCTTCTGCCTTTCCAGCTTAATGACAGTCTTTGTAGCTTCACAGCAAATCTTGCTTCATTTCTGCCCCTAAACTCAACTCTATTCTATTTGGCAATTGCTTGCCTTTTCCCAGAACATCACCTTTTCTAAACTTCCTGGTCTGTACTCTTTTTACTAGTCTGCCTTTATCCAAACTCTTATTTCGTAATTCCATTTTTTTGCTTATGGATCCATTATTTTTAGCCATCCTTACATACATGGGCATGTTTCCCGTACACAGATCTCCCTTGTCACCTTTTCCCAAAGAAGCCTTGGGAATGCTGTTGTTATCCCTGAGAAACACCTTCTGTATGCAGGGCACTGTTCAAGCGGCACCCTGCATGGGGTACTCTGCGCCTCAGGGTGCAATGCAACGCTTAGTTGTGTAGCAAATGGGAAAGGGGTGCAGGGTTACTATAGACTGATGTATCTATTAAAAGATACTTTTCCTTCCCTCCCATGCCAACGATTGTTCAGCTACTGGAAATGTGTGTTGCTAGTACCTTCAGCACACAGTATTCTTAATTCTGACAAGTTTTTTGCCTCTGTGACTTTGGTTTTGTCATAAGATTTAAAAACTTCAGTGTCCAAATAAATGAACTCTTTTCCACAATTTGTTCCTCATCCCTACCAGAATGTTTTTGCATATGATATTTAGGGAGAGTATTAAACACAAGTGAAATAGATTAAGAAATGAATGTAAAAGAATCAATTCTTTTGAACTGTGGTTGCATAATGGAAATCGACTGCTATGAATGAACCTATGTTCAGAAGTTATGAACAGCAGAGCTAATGCACTGCCATGAGTTCATCTTTATTATTGCATTACACCTGAATCAATTGATAAAGTAGCTTTTTTTTTAAGGCTAGGAATGGCACTTAATTGAATAAAAGTCAATGTAATTATATTAGGAGAATCCAACAGTACTGCTGACAGCGGAAAAGGGACACTACTGAGCAGAGTGCCAGAACTGGTCCGCACATTTCTGCACATCGTTTGCCTGACAGATATTATGGGCTGGTACATACTTTAACTAGATTACTGATTGCCACTGCTGTAAGTGAGAATTGAATAAGGGAGGCATCTCTTCTTATCAGTGCATCAGCAGGATTTGCATCCTTGCACTGGTCTTTCTCAGAATGGCCTCTGTACATCTGGGGCTCGGTGGCCCCTCTTTAACGTGGTAATTTATTCTTATCTCTTCACTCAGTGAATGCTGAAGTTATTTTCACTGCATGCCTGGCAGCTGTTTTTCTCAGCAGCAAACCAGGGAAACAGGAAGCACAAACATGCGGAAACAACAGTTACAGTTATCCTGACTAGTTTCTACACTGCAGCAAATTCCCATACCAGGGGAGTGAGGAGGGTAGGGAAGTGGGAGAAATCATAAGAATTAAACACATGAGCACTTTATGAGTAGTTCGCAGTTAGTGTTATGATGATAAGCATGAATGTGTCTTTATGGTCATGTAGTAACACTGGTCAGTGTGGACAGGCCTTCACAGTAAGTGTTTCCTGTGCTGCACTTAGCGACTTTACGCGGAGTTGGATGACATCTGACACCAGGAAGGCAAGGGACTGTCAGGACTACTGTTTATCATTCATGCATGTGCACACTGCATGCATCTGTTCAGAACTCATTTGCAGATGATAATGGGGATGCTGTGAATATGCTTTGATTAACGTGCTTTATGTTTTTCATATTGTGTGGTTGAGTCACTATCCGTCAGGACAACAGTAGAAGTGAGATTACAGCTGACAAAAAACAGTTTCACAGTCAAGGCTTTTTTTAAAGTCTGTATTTTATTGGTTCAGGTATTATTTTCTTTTGTCTTTTTTTTTTTTTTTAAACCAGATATGTCTGGATTGGAATGTGAATTTGTTCTCTCTCTCTCTCCTCCCCCTCCCCCTTTCTTTCTCTTTTCTCCTCTCTTCTCTCTCTCTCTCTTTTGTGATCTCAATTTAGCAAAAGATTAGAAAGCTGATCTTATCACAAGGTAAGCTCAGCCTTCCTAAGTGCAGGGTGGGGATATGCATAATTACACTTCTGCGCCTCAAAAAAGCAATGGTGCTATACTTGCTTGTGTGAAAGGAGTATTTCCCGTGTGGGAGAAAAACAAGGAATACTCTCCACTTTTTTCTGCCCTTGCCCATACCTCTCAACTGTCTCTCGTCAGAAGATAAATTTTCCATTCTAGACCTCTCCTTAACTGGAATAATTGCATCCCAGCCAGACACAAATCAACTAAACGGCAGTTCAGAATCAGTTTTATGTCAGAGAACAGTTACCTGCATTTGCAGGTGAGTGGGACAGATGGCGTCTATTGCTGCTTTCTTTACTTATTCTAATAAGTTATGTGCAACAGAGAGATGAATCACAAAGTAAGTGATTGAAAATTACAGAAATTAACTCCATATCAATTTAATCTTCCTACATTTGCATTTTCTGTATTTATGTGCACTGTATTGCTGTACCATGTTTGGGACTTCAGCTGGTTGAGAGGTATGTTTCAAAGGGTTTCTTAAAACAAAAGCTTCCAATAAGGAAATATTGCTAATAGCTATTGTTCCCCTTCTACCTTTTTTGTTACTGTAGGACCTGAATGTCTGTAAAATATTTGGTCATTGTTATGTCTTCCAATGCGGATTTTATACCTTTTTAGTGCTTTTTTGCAAATTAAAGTATTCCTATGTTAAAATTCTCTCTTTCTCTCTCTCCTCCCCTCCTCCCCCCTCCCTCCACCCTCCTTCTTACTTTTCCCTCCTACATTTGGGCTCTGATTTGCAATTTATAATGGGCAGACAGACTGGTGAGTCTGCATGTTGTAAATTGCAGGTTTGGGTCTTTAGCTTGCAAAGAATGTTATGCAGTAGAACTTCGCTAATTCTTTTTTTACTGACTTGAAAATCCAGTCACCCTCCAAAGAAACTGAATAACTATTTGTCATCTCCTCAGTAATGGCACACATTCTGAATACTGAACACTGAAGTTTTCTAATACTGAAAACTTTATACTGATATCTTATTATTAAGCACTTCGACAAAACGAGCATGTTCTGTGGTCAGAGGTCTTTGATGTCTATCATGTTTGTTGGTTGCATTGTTAATTGAGAAAATGCAGTTTTTCAAAGAGGGTTTCTTGACACTACTGCAAATCAGTGAGGTTCTACTGCAATGGATGAATGAAGGCAATGTCAAAAGTGGAGAGTAGAATGCAGTATTTGAAGTAGTGGGCTGTTTTACACAGTTACCCACCCAAAGGCTTACATTGTTTGCAAATGTAGACCTTTATTTCTTGAGAACAAAGGCCCAGATCCTGTATAACACTTTAGAATATTTTAACTTGTGACACTTGGGATCTGGTCCAAAGATCACTGACGGCAGTGACAGCTTTTCCAGTGTCTCTTGAGCACCCACAGTGACTTCAGCACATGCCAAAACCAAAGCCCGTGCTTAAGTGTTTCAGTGGATTTGGGGCAAAATTCTCATTGCCCTTAGTAGGTTTTTTTACTGGAAATTATACTGCTTTGGTCAGTCAACACTGCATCAGATAGAGTACTGGGAAGAGTACAGGGAGGATGGAACCAGTGAGTTTGGCTAAAATTTTCAGAAACTTACATGCAGATTTTGGAGACTTGTTCTCCTAAACCTTTGAAGTCTTCTCCATCTTGGTTTGGCCCTATTCTGAGTCCTTTTATACCAGAATTAAATTTCAGAATCAGGACCTCTGACTATGTATCATTCAGTTACTCTTATTTTTTTCGCCTCCTGTATTTCACTTACATGGTTATGTGAGTACATATATATATATAAAATTTACTTATATGTATGTATGTATAAATAGATAAGGATATGGATAGACATAGCTACAAAGACACACAGGTATTCCATATATTAATTATATTTTCTCTTGAAGCAAAGCTTTTAGGAAGGCCAGCAGGGATTCAGGAAGCAAGAATAACATTTTGCATTTTCTGCTAGTGCAATTTATTATTTTGTAAATATCAAATAGAAGGGCTGTAGCTGCTGCTGGGGACTAATGTTGAGGAGCAGTAGCTGGAAAGAAAATGGGGGGCTAATTTGCCTGTTTTTCTTAATTTTATGTTGCAATTTTTTCACTTATAACAAGACTGTATTTTCCAAGAAACATGGATAAGTGTATATTTTTGTGGTAAATTATTGATAAATAGGAATTTGGATTTGGTGCCTGATGACTGTATGTTTACTCAAAAATACTGTACATTTTTCCTTTTCTCCATTCCCTCTTCCTTTCCCAGACACAGTGCTAACATAAACCTGCACCGTAAACTGTTGACCAAAGAACTGGATGACATGGGCCTGGACACTTCACAGCCTTCTCTTAGTAAGGACCTCCGCGATGAATTTTTGGTGAAGATATATGGCGCTCAGCATCAGATGGGGCTTGACATAAGGGAAGACACCTCCTCGCCTGCTGGTACTGAGGATTCCCATATGAATGGGTACGGCAGGGGCATGTCGGAAGACTATATGGTCCTAGACCTGAGCACCACTTCCAGCATCCAGTCCAGCAGCAGTATCCATTCCTCAAGAGAATCTGATGCAGGAAGCGATGAGGGCATTCTCCTGGACGACGTTGATGGGGCAAGTGACAGCGGGGAATCTGCCCACAAGGCAGATGCCCCTGCCTTAGCTGTAGGTATGGGCACCGATGTCCCAGGATCCCTCATGTTCAACAGTGTTTCAGTGAGCAACGGTGGGATAATGTGTAACATTTGCCACAAAATGTACAGCAACAAGGGAACTCTCAGAGTGCACTATAAAACAGTGCACTTGCGAGAGATGCACAAATGCAAAGTCCCTGGGTGCAACATGATGTTCTCCTCTGTCCGTAGCCGAAACCGGCACAGTCAGAACCCCAATCTGCATAAAAACATTCCCTTCACTTCAGTAGATTAGTTCAAGGATGGACACAGTGTAATGCCAGCTCTCAGAGAGGGCCCACCACACTTTAATTTGGGGGGAGAGACCCTTCACGATAAAAGCAAACAAAAACAAAAAACAAACCCACAGAAAAATTGCAGTTGTCCCTAGTTGTGTTAGAATGTTGTTGGTCATCTCCAAAGTGATGATTTGTTTTACCCATGACTTTTGCCTGAAAAAAAAAAGAAAAAAAAAAATTGCAAACAAAAAAAGAGAAAAAAACCAATCTACTTAGTTGTCTTTGTGTCTTCTAAGCATTGGGGATAACGTTCTACTAAGCATGGCTGTTACACTTGTATATATATATTGAGCCTTGACAGGCCTACGATGTAAAACAATTGTATTGATGGTGGTTTAACTCTTTTTTTTTTGCTTAATTTTTACAGTTACATTCAGCTGTTAGATAAGCAGGAAAAATAGTTTGCTGGCTAGTTCTACTCATTTATGTTAGCTTTAATGCACATTTTTAAAAGAACCACGGTCTTGTTTTAACTACCTGCTAGATATAAGTAATACAGAGGTGCTGGCATGCTTTACAGTACCTGTTCTGATACAGTTTTTTTGTCTTGTACTATTACATAAATCCAGTCATGCACTTTTTCGTACACTACAAGGGGATGTGTAATAATATCCATGCTTTTTTTTTTCTTAAACTATTGCCATATTTTCAGTAAGTGTCTTTAAAAAAATACACTTAGATAAAAGTGGTCTGGTCAGTATGAGGGCATGAATGCCAAACAAAGAGTATTAGTGTTTAGTGTTAATACAAAAGTGCCAACTTTGCACACGTTTTGAAAAAAGAAAATGTAGTTATTCACCATAACCACAGTTGTAGTTTTTCAGCTACAGAAAAAAATACTGGGGAGGTAAAAGGGGTAAAGTGAAATACAGAATTCTTGGTGCTTTTTTCAAGTGCCAATTATTACTAGAAACAATAGTGCATCCTTATTCCTTATATACTACATTACATAAAAAAAAAAAAACCAAACCAGAATCGTGTCATGTGAATCAGTGGAAACTTTTTTTTTTGTCAAACATGCATAATATTTGGGGATATAAATGCTGATACTACTTGTCACAGAACAAAGATGAATATAATTTTGTGTGCTTCTTACTATGGCCTGGATTTTTTGTGGTGTTTTAAAAAAAAAAAAAAAAAAACAGGGAAATAATGTTGACTGTTGTTCTGTAAAGTTGTCTTTTTTGCAATTGAAAGTGCTGTAGTATGATTAAGGCATGTTTTATAGAAGCAATCAAAAGAAATTAATAGCAGAAGCACTTACATGCTCTGAAAACGTATGCTGGACTTTTTATTGGGTAACTTTCCCTTTGGATAAAATTAGAGGCCAGGAAAAAAGGGATCTCTAGTTGTGTTAATGTTTTGTGTTTCACCCACATGGTTTGTCAGAAAATAACGAAAGTCCAAGAAAATCAGATAGAGAGCAAGAGAGTGAGCATGAACAGGAGAGAGAGAAGGAGCAAGCAGCTGAGAAAGGCAGAGAGAAATAGAGGCTGTCCTCTGATTCTTTTTTTGTTTCCGGTGTTTACACATGTTGCTTGAGCTGGTAAACCACACTGGCAGCCTGAGTTACCACAACATACTGACTGAGTGATGGTATTTATTTAAGTTCAGTCTACAGCCAAAACCATGAGGGTGTGTGTTGTAGACTCTTTTCTTTATAAAAACAGTAACAAAAACAAACAAACAAACAAATGAAAACCCAAGGGATATTTCAGCACACAATAAAGTATTCCTTCAGTGAGAATGTGTTCCTTTTCTGTATTTACCGATGCAGAATATTATTCTTTTTAGCCAAGTGTCAGAAATGCTCCATTGTTTCAGTTTGCCGTTGTTTTGATTTGCTATGGATTATGATTATTTTTACCTTTATGTCCACTTGAGTACTTAACTCCTGTTATGTTTTCTAGAGGAAACTCTTATTATGGATTTCCTCTTTTTAAGTACTCCTTATGCATTTGACTATTCTTCTTTCCAGAAGTAGGAATCAATAGCTAATAAATCAGTATTTCCACTTGTAGAAAATAAAAGAAAAATCTCTCTAAATGAATTATCACTACGTTCCTGTGGGTTACAATCCTCTGATCATTTTTTGATTCTGTACATTGATGAAGCCCTGAAAACAACTGTGAATCCCACAGAAACTTTCAGGAAAATTTACCTTCTGGCTGAACAAAAAGAAACACTACAGCAAAAAGCTAAGCAGTTTCACTGACTTTTTTTCTTTCATCTTTTTTATTTTTCCTCGAAGTCTCAACTCCTTTGCCTTGTTAAATTGAGTGGAGAGATCCGCTTCGCTTTGTTTTATGTTGTGCAAGCTCAGTGTGTTTGTGAGAAAGGAAAATTAGAACAGTAAAGATGCATCCTTCTGAAATACATGACCTTTGTAGTGTTACCTGTACTGCACTCCCATCCCTCCTCCCAAGCTATTATGAACAAGCAAGATGGAAAGTCTAAAAAGCAAAACAACAAAAATTAAATGATATCTACAGAAAGAAAATCCCACTGTTTTGTAGTGTGTATGGTATAAATAAATATAATTTTTAATGAAAAACACATTTGAGGTATACAAATAATTCCTCACTAAATGAATCACTGTTCTGCATTCTTATTTCACTCTGTTGCTGTTAGAGGTCAAATGGTTTTGGTAAACTTGTTTGGAAACTTAAACATCATCGGTAGATAAATTCAGCAGATAAATTACAAAAAAAAAAATCTATTTACTATACAAAATGGAACAGGACATTCTAACAAGTAAAGAAGCAGGGACAAGCCTTCAAAAACGGTTAAAAGCTCTGCAATCCTACTTCTGTGGCATCCTAAACTTCATTCAGGTTTTGCTGAAGCCGTGTAGGAGATACCATCTTCGTCTTATGGACAGAATATTACTCTGTTTTTTTCTAGGCAAATTAAGTGGTTTCTTCAGCGCTAGTGATACTAATGTCAGAACAGTGTTTTAGAAGCGCACATAGCTTACATTGAATTGAATGGCATTTCCCTCCTTCCTACTTACCATGCACCTCTGAGAATCTGTGTTTACCGGAACTATTCTGTGGTGGAATTTGTATCATCAGAAGTTACCTGAAAAATCCTTAAAAAGGCTGTGTGGTAGAAGTTTGGTTCTACTGACAGATAGTAGCCTTTCTGAGTGATCTCAGCAGTGACACAGACTGCAATAAGCATAATGACCAAACATGTCATGTGTCCAGCACAGGGCATGGCTGTAATGGTGTGATGACAAGATAAGTGTTGTGCAGTTGCTTATGCCATCACAAATCTGTGGCTACCCCTTCAGTTTCCAAACCTGTCAGTCTAAACCTTTTTACAATATTTAAACCAACTTTGAGGAAGAGACTCTTCATTTTACATGGAGTTTTTTCCTTCTTGTTTGCTTTTTACAGTGATTGTGGTCACTCTTTC